AAAAAAAAAGTATTTGAGAAAAAAATAAGAGACACATGGAGCTATATTCTATGATAGATCCAGCCCAGAATTCTACAAAATGAGAAATGATCATATGATAGACAAATATTGATCAAAAAGAAAAACCAAATATTCTCTGAAGTACTTTTAGGTTCTTGATCAAAAAAGCTCATTAGCTTCTAAGTAAAAATTGTGGGGAAAGATAGATCTTACTTAACTCTATGGATAAATTTTAGTTCCCATGTGTCTTTGTTACTTTTCTCATTGCTGAAACAAAATGCCCAATGCCCAAACTTAAGGAAGGAAAGGTTTGTTTAGCTCACAGTTGGTGGAGGTTTCAGTCCATAAACAGCTGGCTCCAAGGCAGGCTGACGTAGTGACAGACAATAGCTCAAGCCAGCAGAAGACAGCAAAAATAACAAGATCAAAAGGGGGGAGCAAGCCTCTTTTCCTTCCTTATGTGTAAGCAGGCTCCCACTCAGGGCAGGTGCAGCACTCACACTTCTCCCTGCCCTCCTCTTGCACAAGATGCGGGTGTTTACACAGTGAGAAGCCTGGCCTCCTGCTCAGCTACTTAATTAAACTTCTCAAGTCGACGCAATGTATTGGCCATTGCACCATGTATATCAAAATATTCTATCTACCCTTCAATAGGAAAAAAGTTAGTATTTATTGACCTAATAAAGTTAATAATTAAATTAATTATTTCACAAACAATCTTTAAAAAAAAGAAAAGAAAAACAATTTGACTAACATTGTTCTTCTGCTCTGCAGCCCTGAATGTGATGACCAGGGAACAAAGTTTACAGAATGTTGAAGGAAGTGAGTCTTTAGTCCAAAATTCTATATATTACCAACCAGCGAACAGGTATCAGTGTTAAAATAACAGTTGTTATTATATGCAAGCCCATTCCTACAGTCTTCTCCTGAAAAGAAAATTGCTTGAGGAAGTTCTCACAACAAACTTTAAGAAATAATTTTGAAAGACTGCGAGGGCCGGGGAGATGGCTCAGTAGGATAAGCGCTTGACTGGCAAACGCAAGGATCTGAGTTCAATCCCCGGTTCTGCAAAAAAAAGAAAGAAAGAAAGACTGCGACAAGCCTGGTGTGGCAGCGCACACCTGTAATCCCAGCACTTGGGAGGCTGAGACAGGAGGATCGCTGTGGGTTTAAGGACATCCTGGGCTACATAGTGAGTTCAAGGCCAGCCTGAACTGCAAAGGGAGACTGTATCTAAAAAAAAAAAAAAAAAACGTGACAGAAGTAAGTTATATTGAATTTTGAGAATTTTGAGAATAGCAGAAAACATTTAAAGATAAAATTTAGACATTAATCTGCTTTTGAAAATAGACCTTCTAGGATTTCACTTCAAATATTAAGTTCTCTTATATGCATTAATAATGAATTGCAAGCAACAAAGATGTTTACTTTTTAAATAAACTTTTACTTTCATGGTTTCTCTCGCTGAGCTAGGAACAAGCTTGCTCCTGTAAATGCTTGTATACGAGAATGACATCTAGTGGCCATCCACACCAACTTCAGCCATGTACAAACCCAGTGTGTCCAGAGCAGGCTCTCGTGGTCCATGTTCAATCCCAACTACACAATGCATAGCACTCTCCCGTATCCTTGACCCACTCGTCCAGCACCTGCTTGAACTCCTCCAGTGACAGAAAATTCATTGCTCTAAATTCTAGCTGCTATTCATCCCTGCTAGTGAATTCTTCTTGAAATTGTGCTAACCCACACTCTCCAGTAGCCTCTGTCTTCTAGTCCTAATTCAGCGTTGTGCCTTTAGATGAAATGCCACTGTATACTAATTTTATATTATCTTCCTAACTGAATGAAAGATTAAAATAAAGAAAATAAGGAACAATTTTATTGGTGCTTGACATATTAGTATATTTATACCTCGTTAAAATAGGAATAGGGTACCTAGGAATAAAATTAGAACTCTAGCCGGGGAGATGGCTCAGTGGAATAAGTGCTTCCCTGGCAAGTGCAAGGGCCTGAGTTCAATCCCTTGTTCCGCCAAAATAAATAAATAAATAAATAAATAAAATTAGAACTCCACAGTACCCAAAAGAATAAGACTACAGTCGGGTATGCTTATAATCTCAGCACTCAGGAGGCCAAAGCAGGAGGACTGCTGTGAGTTCAAGGCCAGCTTTGGCTACACAATGAATTCAAGACCAGCTTGAACTATGTCATGAAACACTGTCTCAAAAACATCACCCCAAAAAGTAAGACTAAAATAATTTATTGAGAGGGCCTGCGAGATATCTCAACGGACTAAAAATAAATGACAAACATTCTACTCAAGAGACATGCTACAAAGAGAATAAAAATACTATCAATGCTTTATAAATTATAAGCATAATAGAAGTATAAGATATTATGAAGGCTGTATAGTGGAGGATACTGTATAGTGGCAGGATACTGGAGAGTGCTATGCATTGTGTAGGTGCTACCTGCTTAGGCACATGTAAGGACTGGGGTTCGATTCCCTGCATCCCTTGCCTCACCAACCCCACCCCTGGGGCACTGACTAGCCACCAAAACTGGGCGTGGTGGTGCACGCCTGTAATCCCAGTGCTAGGGAGGCTGAAAATAGGAGGATTACTGTGAGTCTGAGCTGCATAGTGAGATCCTGTATCAAATATATAAAAATAAAGTAAAATAATTATTTGAGAGAACTCAGAAGAATAACAAAATGAGAGATAAAACTAGGATTAAAAACAATAGTGTAAACTTCTCTAGACCGCTACAATAATATAAAACTTCAATGCAATCTCCATCACTGCAAAGATCACTCTAATTCACAGAGAACTATAACTACAATAGGGTGG